TCATACACGTGTTTGCTCAGGCCCTCGGGCCCTGGCCCGCCGGGGCCTGAGTCTCGCTGCAAATAGAGAACCACAGCACCCGCCTCCCTGGCAGGCCGGGGTGCGGCCAGCCCTCAGCTCCGAGAATTCAAGTCTAAGGAAATTCTTTGTCTGCCTTTGACATGACGCAGAGAAGCTGTTCTAAAATCACAGCCTCGTCAGGGATACTTATCCCTCTTCCCCCCAAAAAGGAAACGGAGGCCCCGGAGAGACGCCAGGACTCCCGCTCAGCGGGCTGCCTCCAGTGACGTGAGGACCAGGAGAAAGGTTCGCCCGCTGAGACGTGACCGGCCGTCAGCCCAGGGGCCGGGTGGAAATGCGCAGGCTGCCTCATCAGGAAAGCGGTTCTCTGACCTTAAACCTGACTGCACCCTGACCAGGTGAGTCCATCCAAAACGGGAGGCTGGGCAGCGGGCAGCGCGGAGACGGGAAGATCAGCCACGGTGGCCCCTGACAGTGGCCTCTGAGCTGGGGGGAGGCGGGCGCCTTGGCTGATGACCTCCCACAATCCTGCCCACGGAGGAGTGGCTCCCCCAGGCTCCCTAGGCCTGATGCTCCAAACATGCCTCACCTCCTGGGCTCTCCGTCCTGGCCAACACCCAGCGGACTAATGAAATCACAATCCTCCAGGGCAGGCCCGGCACTCGTGTTTTTAAAAGCTCCCCCGGTGACTCTGATGCGTGGCCAGCATTGAGGACCCGTCTTGCCTGGCCCGCATGGCTCAGTGGCTGAGTGTCGACCTAGGAACCAGGAGGTCCCACGTTTGATTCCCGGTCAGGGCGCGTGCCCGGGTTGTGGGCTCCATCCCCAGTCAGGGGCGTGCAGGAGGCAGTCGCTGCGTGATTCTCATTATTGATGTCTTTGCCTCTTTCTCCCTCTCCTTTCCTCTCTACAATCAATAAAAATAAAGAATAGCGTAAAAAGAACCCGTCTCACGAATCGCCCTGCCCTGGTGCCACTGGTCCCATGCTGAATGCATGCCATCTGGTTCAACACCATAGGCCAGAGCTTGGCTGCTGTGAAGCTGTCACCGGAAACAACTTTTCCTGGTCTAACCTAGGCCGGTGAGACGCGGGCCAGCCCCCGGGCCGATGAGTTTACCCAGGGGACAGAACGTTGCTTCCGGAAGCCTCTTGGGCATCACTTCGCTGGCCAAGAAGCAGCCAGCCCACCTCCGCTGCGCATGTATTTCACGGGGTAATCACACGAGAAACAACGCATGGGCCAGCCAACGGCCAAGCACCAATTCTTTGAGAACTGAGCGCTAGGGGAACGTATTCACTGTCCTCTCCTTTGTATTATAAACACTCCACCGCTTGTGACATGGACACAGCCGACTGCCCAGCCCGCGTCCACTGCCCACATCTAGTTCCTACCAGAACCCTCCGGGTCAGCCCTCTGCTCCTCCTCCCTTGGTGGGCCTGGCTCGCACTCAGCTCCTGGGCCCCGGGTGTGAGGAAGCGGATTCCACCCCCTGCTCCGGGGAGGGCAAGGGCCCGGTGTCACTAGTGAGACACAGGAGCTGGCTTTCTTACCAGCTTCCTATTGAAGACAATGAACGTACGGAGAGGTGCACACATCACACGGACACCTTGACCAATGCTCACAATGAAATAACCTGGGTACCCGGCACCCGGGGTGAGAAGCAAAACATCGCCAGCTCGCAGAAGTCCCTCTCCAGCTAGCTCCCTGCCATCCCGTCCTTCAGGGTAACCCTCCCCTCACAGTGGGACAGGGTGCCTGCTCTGTACGGTTTTGTGTAAGTGGAATTGAAGTGTAGGTACTCCCTGTGTCTGGCTTTTGCTCAACTTTATTGTGTGTTGTTTTATTTGCTTTGATGGCTGTATAATATTCCATCATGGAACAAGCCACCTTTACTCATTCTACTGCTGAGTTTTAGTTCAGGAAGATGACAAAATTGTGCTGCTATGAACATTTTAGTAACTGTCTTTTTTAAAAAAAATATTTTTATTGATTTCAGAGAGGAAGGGAGAGGGAGAGAGAGTTTAGAAACATCAATGATAAGTACCACTGATCAGCTGCCTCCTGTACACACCTTCTAGGGATTGAGCCCACAACCTGGGCATGTGCCCCTGACCAGAACTGAACCCGGGACCCTTCAGTCCGCAGGTCAACGCTCTATCTACTGAGCCAAACCGGTTAGAGCTAGAAGCATTTCTAGTGTTATCTCCATAAAGCACTTGAGCCCCACAACATCCTTGCTTCATGTTTCCGATGTGGAAATGGATCACCAGTGAAATTCGATATTTCCCCAAGGCAAAGGGCAGAGCTGGGACTGGAAGTCGGGGTTCCCTATGCCCAGCCCACTGCCTTTTCACCTGCACCCTCTGGCTCCCCTGTCCCTGGCAGGCAGTACAACGGTCAACTCGCATTTTGTGAACACGACTACCAGCCCTCTGACCCCACAGCTGCCGTTTTCAGGGAAGCCAGGTGAAGCAGCCAATATGCGAAGAGCCGGCAGCTAACAGAGCATCACGGCTTCCCCTGCTTCGCCCTGTTCTGAGGAACCTGAGCTACACAAGGCCCGTGCCTGGCCCCCCCGGGGGAAAAGGACTGGCGCCTGCTGATCATAAACCGCTAATGGGGACGTGCAGATGGTGAGAAGCGTAGGGGCAAAAACGATAGTAGCACGCTCGCCTTCCCGCCAGACAAAGGCAGGAGCTGTGACTATCATCAGCTTCTCAGCTGAGATGCCCAAGTGTGCTCCCCGCGCTCGGCAAGGGCGCAGCCCGCTGACGGACAGACATGCGCAGCGGAGCGGTGGAAGGCAGTTCAGGGGCCCCAAACCTCTCCCCAGGACAAAGCAGCCCCATCCAGCCTCACCGCCCTGCCCGCACTCCGTGGGGTCGAGCATTCTGCGGTGAGCATGCTCTCAGGGCGGAGGGCGGAGTCCTCAGTGCCCTCCCACCCGCGGGGATTGTCTTCCGGAGCCAACTTAAATGAAGTTGTTCCTCGAGCAAAGATTCCAGTGCCCGCTGTAGAACAGGCAGCCAGACGGCTCGTGTCACTGCCTCCACCCCAGACCCTTCCCTGGCCCACACTGGAACTCCAGGCACACCATCGGGCTGGCCTGCAAGGCCTCTGATGGCCTGGCCCTGTCCATTCCCAGCCCCTCGTCCCCCGCACGCCGGTCTGCAGCCTGTTCCGTGACTACCCCGTGTTTTTATGGACCCAAGGACTTGGCACTTGTCCGCCTTTCTCCTCACCTCTTCCAGCTCACAGTTCCCAGCCAGGTGTCACCTTCCCAAAGAGCTTCCTGACCCTTCTCTGAAGTGGCACCCGTCACGCTGGGTCATGGCACAGGGTCCGGTGTCTCCCTAGCACTCACAGCCATAGGCCGCCACTTGCTTATTCGCCATCCGCCCCGTGACAGCAGGTGCCCTGCGCGTCCCACTCACCCCAACACCGAGAACCACCGCGGATGCTCGGTAACTGTGAGTGGAATGCATGGCCGAGTGAATGAAGGACCGTCCAGCTGTGGGTTCACCAGTGAGGTGGCCTCGTTCTCTCCTCTGCTACCTGCATAAATACCATTTTGCTATTCACTAACTCCCAAGAAAATAAAATAGAGGGAAAAACAGAGCAGGGGGGATTCCTGAAAAGGAGATTGGAAGAGGCCAGAAATAAGATTTGGACGTCTGGGTTGCAGGTTTTCTATACTGTCCCCAGGAGCTGCCATGGGAGACGTGGAGGCGCATCCAGAAGCTGCACCATGTGATCGGAATCACATTTAAAACCCCCCAGTGCCTGTGACGGATACGCTGCTCGCTGACAGACTGGGGATGAGCCCTGCGATGCCTCGGGCTCCGGAAAGGCTTGGCGGAACTGTGACACGTTCTCCGGAGCGTGTGCACACGCCTGCCGCCGTCTCAAAGATGGCCATTCAGGACACTCGCCACCCTTAAGCATGCGGGGAGCACGTCGTGCTTAGAGCCCTGGCTTTCAGAAACCTCTGGTCAAGCTTTCCACGCTCCAGAGGCGGGAGCTGGAGGCGCCGTGAGCAGGCAGCCTTCCCCAGCCACAGAGCCGGTGAGGGTGAGCCCATCCCGCTCAGGCTGCAGCCCCCCTAGGCCCCTTCCGCACGGCCCACCCAGGTGGCCAGCCCCTGGCCAGGGCCACACTCCCCCCGCAACAGCACAGCGCGAGGAAGGGGCAGGCCCCGCGCTGTGTAGGCCCCATGCTGGCCCCTGGCTTCAGGAGCGGGTGCGGAGATAAGCACAGACCGGCCCAACCCACCCAACGCACCGGCCGGTGGGGGCTCACGGCGGCTTCCCACAGCCTGATCGCCGCACCGCTCGGCCCCAGCCCCGGCCCCGGCCCAGCCCGACCCCGGCCCCGGCCCCAGCCCCAGCCTCAGCCTCAGCCTCAGCCTCATCCCAGCCCCAGCCCCGGCCCCGGCTCCGGCCCCAGCCCAGCCCCAGCCTCATCCCAGCCCCGGCCCCGGCCCCGGCCCCGGCCCCGGCCTCAGCCTCAGCCTCAGCCTCATCCCAGCCCCGGCCCGGCCCCAAGGGCTCCCCGCAGCCCTGGGCCCGGCCTCGGAGGAGAGCAAGGCCCTCTCCGCTGGACCTGAGGGGAGATCAGTCCCCAAACCGGCGGACAGCGGGGCGGCCGAGGGCGGCAGCGGGGCCGGGAGGGAAGGAGGGAGGGGAGAGCGCAGCCGGGACCGAGCCGGGAGCCGTTCCCGACACAGACTCTGGGCTCCGGTTTCCAGGCCCCGAGATCGGCTCCCGCCCTCCCCCCCAACCCCCAGGCCCCGGCCCGCCCCCCGGGGCCCGGCCCCCCCCAGCCCCCGGCCCGCCCCCGGGGCCTGGCGCCCGGAAGGGGCCGCGGAGCCCAGCCGGCCGGCCGGGCGCTGGGAGGCCGAGGCGGCTCTGCACGCCCGCCGGCCCCCCACCGCCCCTTCCGCCCCTTCCGCCCCCTTCCGCCCCTTCCGCCCCTACCGGTAGTAGCGGTCATCCCTGAAGGGCGCGAGGTCCTCCCGCAGCTCCCGGTAGGCCTCCCGCAGCCGCCGGCACAGGTGCTTGAGGTCGCTGCACAGCGGAGGCTCGAAGGCCGGGTACTCGGCGTCCATGCCGGCGGCGCCTCCTCCCGCCCTCCTCCCGCCCTCCTCCCGCCGCTCCTCCCGCCGCTCCTCCCGCCCTCCGCTCCGCCCTCCGCGGCTCCTGCGCCCCCTCCCCTCCCCGGGCGCCGCTCCGGGGCTGCTGCGGGGGCGGGGCCGGGGGGGAGGGGAAGAGGGGGAGGGGAGGGGGAGGACGGAGGGGGAGGGGAGGAGGGGGAAGAGGAGGGGAGGGGGGAAGAGGAGGGGAGGGGGGAGAGGGAGGACGGAGGGGAGGAGGGGGAGGGGGACAGGGAGGGAGAGGGGGAGGGGGAGGGGAGGAGGGGGAGGGGGGAGGGAGAGGGGGAGGGGAGGACGGAGGGGACCCGTGCTCAGGGAGCCGCTGGATGCGGGGGTGGGTGGGGAGAAGGTCCCCGGAGGGGCCTAAGGAGCGGAGGGCGCCGCGCCCGTGGGCCGCCGCCCAGGCTGACCCTGACCCAAGATCGTCCGCCGTCGCTGGGGACAGACATGCGGGTCCCGGGAGAGAGGAGAGGCCTCGGGGGGCGGGAGGGAAACGGGCTGCGGGACGGCGAGGGGCGGTCACAGGCTGGAGCCGCTCCCACGTTCAGCACCACGGACAGCCGCCCGGTGCTTCCCCCTCCCCTCTCCCTGGGCTCCCCTGGGCCTGAAGCAAGGAGCACTCAACGTCAAGCCCATTAGGTTAGGCCAGAGTGAATGTTTTTGCTAACGATACAAGGATGTTCCCAGCCGAAACCGGTGTGGCTCAGTGGATAGAGCGTCGGCCTGCGGACTGAAAGGTCCCAGGTTCGATTCCGGTCAAGGGCATGTACCTTAGCTGCGGGCACATCCCCAGTGGGGGGTGTGCAGGAGGCAGCTGATCGATGTTCCTTTCTCATCGATGTTTCTAGCTCTCTATCCCTCTCCCTTCCTCTCTGTGGAAAATCAATAAAATGTATTTTTTAAAAATGTCCCCAAATGAGATGTCTCTCCCACGAGTTCTTAAGCAACCAAAACAACAAAATATGGGCAAAGCTCAACCTCAGTGAATAAAAACTCACACCGACACGTCCTCCGTGGACGGCTCACCCAGAGATGATGTCATTTCCGGTGACCGTCAGTGGAGAAGCAGCTGTTCCGGGTGATGGTGCATTTCCACCTCAATCGGACAAGCCTGCATGCCGGCCTGATCTTGTATCCACTACAGGAACCCTTTACAAATACACTTTTGGGGGGCCAACTAACACTATTGAATCTAAATTACATGGATCCCAGGAACCTGCATTTTTCAAAGCTCCCCGGGTGAGTCTGATAATCACTCACGTTTAGATGGTGTCAGATTCCCCACATTTTCTGCTGTCTTTTCCTGTGCTCTAATTTCACTCTCTGTTCCTTGCTCTTTATTTTTATGGTCATACTTTATCTCCTTCCTCTCCTTACATTTTATTTTATTTATATTTTTATTGATTTCAGAGAGAGAGAGAGAGAGAAACATTAATGATGAGAGTCATTAATCGGCTGCCTCTTGCACGCCCCCTGTTGGTTACAGAGCCCACAACCTGGGCATGTTCCCTGACCTTGGAATTGAGCTGTGACTGACCTCCCAGTTCATGTCTTGATGCTCAATCCCTGAGCACCGAGGGCTGTGCCCCCTTACATTTTAAAACCAGTTTTTGTCTACTAGTCAAGCTGTTCCCTCAACTTCTGATCATCCTGCCCTGTGCACAATTAGGCGTTAGCCTTAACTCATTAACATGAGCATTTTATTTAACCATCTTGGGAGGACACAATATGGAGCTCTGAAATAGCTATCCTCAAAATACTGTGCAGAGAGGAGCGCTGAGAAGAGTTCATTAAAAAAAAAACATGGGTAATTTCGCCAAAACCAATTTGGCTCAGTGGTAGAGCATCGGTCTGTGGACTGAAAGGTCCATTGTTCAATTCCAGTCAGGGGCATGTACCTTGGTTGTGGGCACATCCCCGGTAGGGGGTGTGCAAGAGCCAGTTGGTCGACGTTTCTCTCTCATTGACATTTCTAGCTTTCTTTCTCTCTCCCTTCCTCTCTGTAAAAAAATCAATAAAATATATTTTTTTAAATGGGTAATTTGTATTCTATAATGAAATAGACTAGCATACGTTATATTTTAAATAATTTATAATTGATTACAGAGCTCATCATTATGGGAAATGTTAACCAACTTCAAAGATACCACAGCCCTAGCCAGAGGGGTCAGGTGGTTGGAGTATCACCCTGTGCACTGAAAAGGTTTGGGCCCAGCTGGCATGGCTTAGTGGCTCCTTGTCTTATTTGGGTATCAATGCACTAACCTTGTGGTGGGGAGGGGAAGAGAGGAGAGTGTTTCCTCTCTCTCTCTCTTTTTCCTTTCTAAAAGTATTTGTGTAAGAGAGGACAGAGAAGTTACTTAAAAATTGTTGCATTTACCAGTAAAACCATGTGGGTTAGTGTTTTCCTTGTAGGAAGATTTTTTTAAATAAATAATTATATTTCCAAATCTTTAAATTTAGTGTCATAGTTATTCAAAATATTTATTCTCTTAGCTTTAAAAAAATCTCTATCTGAAGTCATGTTCCATCTTTATCCCCAATATGTTTATTTTTTCATAAATACATCATGCCAGATAATTGTCAAAGTCATCAATCTTTTCTCAAGAACCAACTTGTGTGACATCATGGACCCTCTTGAATGTACTTTTTTGCTTTTATATTAACTTGTTACCCTGTTCTTTATCTGTTTCCTTCTCTCTTTTTATTTTTATTTCAGAGTGGGAGATCAATGATGAATCATTGATTGGCTGCCTCTTACACACTGCCAACTGGGGATCAAGCTTGCAACCCAGGCATGTATCCTTGACCAGAATCGAACTCATGACCCTTCAGTCCGCAGGCCAATGCTCTATCCACTGAGCCAAACCAGTTATGGTTTTTGTTTTAAAAATATTTTTATTGATTTCAGAAAAGAAGGGAGGAGAGAAACATCAATGATGAGGATCATTGATTGGCTCCCTCCAGCACACAACCCTACTGGGGACTGAGCCAGCAACCTGGACATGTGCCCTGACTGGGAATCCAACCTGACCTCCTGGCTCGTTGGTCGACGCTCAATCACTGAGCCACACCGACCAGGCTCCTTCTCTTTTTAGAGTTTTGTTATTTTTCCAATGTCTGAAATGTACTTTGGCCACTAATTTTTAGTTTTTGCTCCTATGTAAAAAAAAAAAAAAATAAGCATCTAAGATTATAAATTTATCTCCAAGTGCTACTTTCATGACATTTCACAAGTTTTCATTCACTAGCTCTTCTTTGACCTAAGGATTATTTATAACTCATTTCAAGGGGACAGTTTTACCTGTTTATTGATTTATAAACCTTAATTGCATTATTACGAGAATATAGTCTATTTGATGCAGATTCTTTGAACTGTGTTGATATTTGTCTCATGGCCTAGTGTATGACCTGTTTTTATAACTGTTTCATGTATATTTCAAAAGATTTTGTGTTCTATAGTTGTTGGGTGCCAAGTTTTATTTATGTCCACAAAATTAAGCTTTGTTTGGTCTTTCTATAATTGAAAGAAGTATGTTGTAAGCTCATACGTTGTCAATGACTTCCTATAGTTCTATCAGTTTCTGCTTTATACATTTTGAGACTATTTAAAGGCATTTACTACGGAAATTTTCACACACTCAGAAATAGCATCTATTATAATGAAGTCCTTCACCCACTCCCCGTCCATGTATCCATCATCCTTCACCCAGGTTCAGTTAACATTTTGCCATTCTTGCTTCATCTATTCTACCCACCATTTTTGCTGTTGGGGTATTTTAAGGCAAATCCTAGATATAACATTTCACTCTAGTATTATACTTTAGCATGTTTCTCTAATAGTTAACAACTTAAAACATGCAAACAAAATATGTCGAGGCCACCACGGTAGGTGCCCACAGGGGAAGACTTGCCCAATCTCAGGTCCCCTTTGGGAAGCTGGCTCCCTCTCCAGTTCAGCCTTCTCTGGCAGAACAGAGTCAAGGTGTGGTGAAGCAGCTGTGTGATCAGCTGCTGTGATCTCTTGTAGCCAATGGGTGCTCAGGGTTTGTGACAGCTACTTACCAACTGGAATGGCCTCAGGACGTCAAGCTTGCTGAGCAGTTAGCAACTCTGAAGGTAGGATACATTGGTCAAGGCCCCCAAGTCTTACCCTGCTCTTTTTCCTGCCACGCTGAGCACTTGGCCCTTGGCAGTGTTGGGAAAGGAAGTTACAGGGCGAAAGATTTGATACCAAAGACTACCTGTACTCACACCCAGGCATTCGGCGCCCTTTCTAATTCATGGTGGGATTTGGCTGAATGAGACATTGCTTGTGATGAGTCTTCAATAAGCCCTACTTATGATGGGGATTTTATATACACTGAGGCCTCCCACGTTCTGGGCATTTGGCACGCTCACGGAGCTCACCGTGTAGATGGGGCACTCACGGTTACATGTTTATCCTAGTGAATGTGTGAACACAGTGAGGACATGTGCTCCAAGGGGCACCACAGGAAACCTCCTCCACGGGGGACAGGGAAGGCTTGGCTGTGGGCATGGTCCTGAGAGGCTCTGAAGGATGTGTTAAAGGTGGAGCGGGGTGGGCAGGGAGATGGGCCTGAGCCAGGCCAGCGTGGGAGAACCTTGTGGAGGGGCTGGGCTCTGGAACACATAGCAGCGGCTGGAAGGGCAGGCAGGAACAGGGAAGAGGCTTGGCCTTTGTATAACGAGGCATTCCGAGCACTCACATATGCTCTCTCAGGTAATCCTCAGAAGTCACCTATTCGATGGCAGTAGATCACCCTCATTCTGCAGGTGGGAACCAGACACAGGGCCCCTATATACTCTGGCCCCAGTCACCCAGCTAGTGAGGGCGCCACGTACCCACAGGCTGGATCTGGAGGTGATGCCTCTCATTATCATGTTCAACCACCTTACAAGTCTTAAAGCTAAGAAATATATAGAACAGATTT